CTAAGCAAAAATATAAGTCTCCTACAAATTTCCAGCACTGGACTTTGGAAGGTCAGGACTTTAAAAACACACAAAAAAATTCAATCAACAAGTACTTACTGAACATACGGCACTTGCCTGCAGTCACTTTGGGCTAAACAGGAGCGAGTTAAGACATAAAGCTACCTTAGAAAACTTGTAGAGACAGGTAAAAATTAAGTTGAACTCATCTCGACTGAAATAACTAACAATCTGGTCGATTAAAAGGTTCATATTGTATGTACAGTTGTGGCCAGCTATACACATTATGCTCTCACACAGATGAATGACTGTTTTTCACCTCAATCCACTGAGGTGAAGTTAGTGTTATTGTTAGTAATAGTAGCAATATTCTCATTTGGCAAGTAACAAAGCTGAGGCACAGAGTGGTAAAGGGACACATTCCTAGATGCCTCATTATGGGCAGACCTGGTCATGTGATCTAAATAAAATCAGAATATACAGCATGATCATCTTGGCATAAAAAGAGAAAAGTGCTTTGCAAACCCTCTACACGTAATTATTCGGTGCTAGTTCTTGTGCTCTTATCTATCAGTAGCAGTGCTTAAGACACTCAGGAAGCCCACAAGCACTAAGCTGTTCTATAAGAAGTAAATGAAATGATGGATTGAGAAATACTCTGTAATGTATCATATTATCATGAGATTATTTCTATGTATTTATGTTATTATTGCTAAATGCGGAAATAGGCATTCTTGCAGTAATTAGGTCTCAAAAGCAAACTGATAAGATCATCACATCTTTCAGTTATTCTGTTGGTTGTCAGACCCCTAAAATAAACAGAAGTATGAAAAAATGTTCCATGCATAAAATTGGAGGGAAGAGGAGAGTCAAGGGTAACACATGGAACTTAGCGGTTGGATTTCACAAAATTGGCTTAATAACCAAATGCAATCTAAACCCTTAGAGAGGTCTTATCTTTCCAGGGGACTTTAAGACCCTTACTCAAACTTTAAGTATGTCACCTGCCGTGACGTTTTTCCCAACCTAGAAAGGTTTGGTGAAGCAGCCCATCTCATAATGTCTGGTTCCATATCTAAATTACTAAAATTGATACACTGTCTTATCACTTGTATTTATTTGTGTGCCTTGAGAAGAGACAGCCTTGTCTAACTCAGTTTCTTGAACCTCAAATGCAAAATTGGATCTGGAGTTCTCAAGAATATATTCAATGAATAAATGCATGAATAAATTAAAACAGTTTTATGTCATTCCTAAAGCATCTAGCTCAATGCGTATCATGTAAGAAGTGCATGGTATATGTTTTAAATTGATATTAATTGAACATTTAATTTTAAAAATATATAACTCAACTAAGTAACTCTTAAAGCTATGAGTGAGGGGTTTAATGAGGAGTTAAGTAACATGCAATACCCAGTCATCATTGATCCATTAAAAGGGTGAACAAATGTTTTCCACAGGAGGAATAATACAAACTGAATATATGAGTAAAGATGTAGTCAAGAGTTGAGAAAATTCATGTAGCTAAAAAAGCGTATTTGTCCAAAAAAAAGTTAAGTTCTAGACAAACTTACAAAATAAAAGGGGACATGAATCGAGAAGTAACGGGATTTTTTTCTTGTTGTTTAGGATTGTAGGCATGAATAAATCTTAAAAGAAAAAAACTGGAGAAAGAGAAGGAGAGAGAGGGAGAAATTCTTAAAATAATGAATTCTAAAAATCATATCACGTATATAAAAAGGAAAAAGAAATCACTGGAAGCAATCAAAAAAAACTAAAAGACAATCTACTGAATGGGAGAAGATATTTGCAAATGACATATCCAATACAGGGTTAGAATCTAAAATATATGAAGAACTTGTATCAACACCAAATAAACCCAAACAATCCAATTGAAAAATGGGTAGAAAACACGGACAGACATTTTGTCAAAGAAGACATACGGATGGCCAACACACACATGAAAAGATGTTCAACATCACTCACTGTCAGGGAAATGCAAATCAAAACTATAATGAGATATGATGTCACACCGATCAGAATGGCTGAAACCAAAAACACAAGAAACAACAAGTGTTGGTGAGGATGTGGAGAAAAAGAACACTTCTGCACTTTTGGTGGAACACAAACTGGTGTAGCCACTGTGGAAAACAATATGAAGGTTCCTCAAAAAGTTAAAAATAGAATTAACATATGATCCAATAACCCCACTACTGGTTATTTACCCAAAGAATACGAAAGCAAGCACTAATATGAAAAGATATATGCACCCCTATGTTTATTGCAACATTATTTACAATAGCCAAATTATGGAAGTAGCCCAAGTGTCTATACATATATGAATGGATAAAGAAGAGGTGGTATATACATACATACATATATACACCCAATAGAATATTATCCAGTCTTAAAAAAGAACAAAACCTTGCCATCTGCAACAACATGGATGGATGTAGAGACTATAATGCTGAGTGAAATAAGTGACTCAGAGGAAGACAAATACCATATAATTTCACGCATATGTGAAATTTAGGAAATTAAACAAATGAACAAAGAAAAAAAGGGACCCACCAGGAACAACAAAGAGACTCTTAACTATAGAGAACAACCTACCAGAGGGAGGTGGGTTGGGGGATGGGTGAAATAGGTGAAGGAGATTAAGAGTGCACTTATCATGATGAGCACTGAGTAATGTACAGAATTGCTGAATCACTATCTGGTACACTTGAAACTGAGATAACACTCTAGGTAAACTATACTGGAATGAAATTTTTTAAAACATTGGAAAGATCTAAGACAAAAAGTTTATCAAGGTAAAAGTTGTATTTATTAAACACACTACATTTCTGTAACTGAGCTAAGCATTTTTCATACTTTAATCCTTAAAAATATTCTTAGAAGTCATTCGTATATCCATTTTGGGTCTAAATAAACCAAAGTCCAGAACACTTAAATAATCTGATTGAGTTCAACCACCGAGTAAGTTATGGTACTAGAATTTGAATCCTAACTGTTTTCCTTTAATTACTGAGGTGCAGTTGATACACAGTGTTACATTAGTTCAAAGTATACTACATAGTGTTTGCATGACTCTATAAACCGTGCTAACATGTAGCTACCACTTGCCACCATACAATGCTATTACAACACCATTGACTATATTCCCTATGTATATCCTAGCTTTCAGACTCACAAATGCACACTGTTCCCAGTACCTAACAAAGAAGTGCACTTGAAAGAGAACTTTAGAGGTGAATGGCATGGCGGAAATCTAGAACGTGACGTGGACATAGGGACAGGATAAAGAATATAAGCATCCAAACCTGTGTAAGTCCTACGACAGAGGTAGCAAGAAAGGAAGGGGATGGAGGAATTACAGCTACCCTCGAGAATCCGGGGATGGGTCATGTAGAAGCCATGTTATACTTGTGCCAAATATGAAACGCTAAAACTCTTAGGGTTGAAACAGTGAAAACTCCCGTTTCTGAGCAAAGGAGAGGAGAACTTTAAACATGAAGCTGCCCAGCAGTAGAACCAACTGCTTCACAAAGAATTGGAAATGCCCAAGTAGAGGCTCAATGGCCATCTGTCAGGGAAGGCATGCGTAACATCCTGGCAGTGGGAGGGAGTCAGCATTAGAAGATGGGCCGCTGCAGCTCTGTGTTTCAGAGATTTAGCTGCCCAGTGCTGAGAGACAAACAACAGCTCTGAGCTCTGAGATACAAATTTGAAGGATGGCCTTTGAAGAAGAGACCCCTGAGTAAAAATAGCATCCGTGCAGCACATCCATGGGGCGGCAAGGCCGTGCCAAGCACGAGACAGTCCCCATGCTCAAGAGGTTCAGACAAGGCAGAAAACACATTTTGAAGAGTTAAAAAAGAACTGCTGGGAGGCAGTTTGGGAGCCTCCTAAATGGCTAGACAAAGCCATAACCAGAAGTCTCCGAAAGAAAGAGAAAAAGCTAAATGGTTCGCAGGAAATGAAGTTTTATGGGAAGAAAAGAAATCATCAAAGGCTTAAGTTTAGGGAAGAAGTGATTCACAGAAGTGTGCCAAGGTCAAATCAGATCATACTTTTGAGTAATCAAAACTGACATGGAGGAAGAAGCTGAAAACAAAGTTAAGAAAAAATGCTCACAGGTGGGAGACAGCAATGAAATGTTGGGTGAGAAATAGGAAAAATAAATGAGATTGTTCAAAAGAACATTCAACATATTTGAAAATGAGAGAACAATCCATTGGAGAGTGGATTGAAAGCCTACTTTCACCGTCTGCCAGATTCACTCATTTTCGAACACTGCAACCTGTCTAAACCCGACCCCCCAAATGCTACCCAAAACAGGAGAGAGAGATTGAAGAGAAAACATGATATCTGGGTCTAGTTCAACGGCCTTTCTCAGCATCCATCATTACAATCTCAGGCTAAGCTGTTTTTATTGAAGTAAACAGATCACATAAAATATGAACACAAGCAAAAGTAGAGGTAAAGGGTAATTTGTATTGGATGACCTCCCTCCCACAGAAAGGAAAAATATCAGGGAGAGAATTTTAACAGACAAGTGGGGAGGCAGGGGCTCATCCAGTAAGATGACTTCACTGTGACAGTAACAATATGGGAATGTATGCAGTTTCCCTTCCTGTGACTGCGAGCTAATTCAGGTGAAGAAGGAAGTGGCTGCTTCAGCCCAAACTCCCAAAGTCTTGTCTTTCCCCACAACGCTGGAATTCTAAACCAGAAAACGAACAAGCACTCAACTGCTCCTTCAACTTCTCTCAGGTCTTGGCAAAGACAGAACCTGTTTTGTTTAAAAAGGCAAACAGTGGTCACTCTTGAAAAGCAGGGGAGTGAGCAGTGGTGCAGCAGTGAGCACAGAGTGTGGAAAATAGGCAAAGGGTTTAATAAACAAACAAACAAAAATATATGGAAATCTTCCCAAATGAATAGAATAATTACATACATTTGGCATCACATATTCACAAGAGAAATTCAAAAACATCTACCTTGAGATTCTGGAAACTGGTACAGGAACTCAAAAGAAAAAGAGGAATGCACAGATAACTGGATTCTTATCCCCAGCTCAGCCGCTAACCAGTGCAGTGGTCCCGGGAAGGTCGCTTCCAGCTCTGCTCGCCTAAAAAAGCCAAAGGACAGGATTAGATCAGTGGCTCTCAATGCACATGATGCATCTTTTTCACAGTGTTGACATTTGTGTCCATGGTGGGAAGGCAATCACGAGTAGGTAAACATGGCCAGGGTCTTCAGAGGAATCAAGCAGTGGCTCTACAATGTACTGACAGCCATTGCACTTTTCACCGCCAGGTACCCACAGTACAGGAAACACGGAGCTCATTTCACTTAAAACTGTCCTCCTTCCACTAAGACTTAATTTTAGCAAACTCAATCCTTGAGCGCACATCTTGTTAGTATTCCGTGTGACAAAATAGAAAGTAGGCATGAAGATCTTTTGCTGAATCCCAAATTACAATGGCAGTCTCCAAGAAAGGCAACTGTGTGATTGCTGGAATCGAGAGCTGAGCTCACGGAGCGCTGCACAGAACATCATTTTTATTTGAAAGAATGACTGACGAACTGTGGTCATTCAGACATGGTGATGCCAGACACAAACCAAGAGAGCCTATCATTTCAAGGAAAACAATTAATGGGATTTGTTGCCAATGAGAAAAATGACTTTTCAAGTGAAAATCAGAACTTCAATAGCCTTGCATCTCCAACTGGATACTTGACATATTCCTAATAATTAAAGTATGTTTTTGATGAAAGCAGTGGTGATATTAACAAATGTGATGTTTTTTGTTATTGTTACAGAATGAAACATATGAATATTTGAAAGATATGTGTAACTCGGTGAACCCGTGTTTTTTAAGTGAGCAATCTGTGGTGCTACACAGGTGGAGAGCGATTCAAACTGAGTATAAGACCAGTGAATTTTAACATAACAGAGTATAAAGAAATGTGTTGATACAATTTCAGATTTCAAATTAGAAAACTACCACTTGTCAAGTTTTAGTGTAGTATCAAAAAAATAAAAATCACAATTATATCCTTTTTACTATCTTTTCCAATCCTTTCTGTAAATTATTTCTGGATTTTCTTCCTAAACTTTAATCAAAGCATACGTCATGACAAATTGTCATTTTTCTCACTAGTTTTTTTGTGTCTTTTGGAAAATGTACTATTTTCATGCAGTTTACTTTAAAATCTTTTTCTAAATTTCTGCTTTAATTTCTTTTTTTAAATGCTTATTTATTTCGTTGGATATATATATAGAGAGAGAGAGAGAGTGTGCACATGAGTGGGGAAGAGGTAAAGAGAGAGAATCCTAAGCAGGGTCCACGTTCAGTGTGGAGTCTGATGTGGGAAACAATCCCACGACAGTGAGATCTTGACCTGGGCTGAAATTGAGAGTCAGAGCCTCGGGCACCCCACTTTTAATTTCTAAGATGAATATCATTAGCTATCACTCACATAAACAAAAACTCACACAGAGGAGTGTAGAGAGGTCCTGAGACCAAACCCCTGCACTTAGATGGGACTAATGTATGCTCCCTTCCTGCCCAGGGCCAATCTTCTTTGGTTCTAAACTATTAGGGAAGACACAGAGTGGCTCAGCTCTACTTTCAGACTCTGATACCTGTTTACTGTTATGTAGAGGCCACTTCAGCGAGCATGTGGACACAGTGAAACATCTGTATGACCGCACCATGGAATAGGCCACCTGTTAGTAACATATATCCATTGCGAGCTGTCCGTGGGGCAGGCACTGGTTAATAGAGAGCACTTAGATCAAAATCCAGACTCTACTACTATTTGGGGTATGTATACTCTTTTCTTAATTTTATTTTTATTTTATTTTGAGAGAGAAGGAGAGAGCACTAGGAGAGAAGGGGCAGACGAAGAGAGAGAGGGTCTTAAGCAGGCTCCACACTCAGCACAGAGCCCAACACAGGGCTCGATCCCATGACCCTAGGATCAGGAACCGAGCTTAAGTCAAAAGTCGGAGGCTCAAACGACTGAGCCACCCAGGTGCCCCTTGATATGCTCTTGGTCAAAATACAGAATCTCTCTAAACCTGTTTGTTTGTTTGTTTGTTTGTTTGTTTTTAATGTGAAATAAGAATGGCAATAGACCTACATCTGAAGATTACTGTATACTTCCACTGAAATGATCCATTACAAACCTTACTATACACAATGCCTAGCATACAGTAAAAACTCAGGAAATTGTACCTTGTTATTATAACTAACACGTCTCTTACCATTGTTTGCCATGTTCATGAAAGAAATAAAAACAATTTAACCATACAGGGACTCAAAATCCATCTCACTTGCTGAGACATTCGACTCCGTGAAAACTCAGAGGCAAAAGTATCCAGGAGTCCTTGTTTCTCATCCCAAAAGAAAGAAAAAAATCTGTCTGTGGCCAGGAATAAAAGCAGGTTGATAATAAGGACCAGGCACTGCATAAGTTTCCAAACTTTCTATGGTCAAGAGAGCAAGCAGGTCCCCCCAACATCATTCTCATCACTAGAGTAATAGGTCACAGGACAGGAAGTGAGACTCCAAACCTAGTCCCTGATCAAACTAGAGATGAGATTTTAACTTTTCCTTTGTTTCAGCAAAAAGTCATATTCATGTCATCTCTTGACCCCATGTAAAACCCAGCAGGAAAAAGGCTGGGGAAAAATAAGGATGCTTGCCAATCTGAGGTCAAACCAAAAGAAAAAGATGCCCTCATGCTGCTAAGAATAGATTGCATGTAGGAGAGAGGAGGTAGTTAATAAATTTCTTTCAATTAAAAATACAATCTGGAGGAACAGACACATGTACACTTATCTACAATTTCTTTAAAAAGATAGAAAGGAATTAACCATTAATCTAGTTACACTGGTGAGGCTCAATTTCATTTTTAAAGGAAAAAACAGGATGCCACCTTTCTTCTACTTTCTTCCATCAACTCTACGTACAACCACTCAAGTGTCAGTATCTTACTAGCCTGATAAGACTTTTAACTGCTGATTTAATAGAATGATGTAAGTTATGCTTCCAGAATAATGTATAGAAATGATTATGCCCCCTTAACAGCACTTGGATCTTCAATCAGGAAATTCAATTTTAGCTGCAAAACTATGTTTTGGCAAAAGTGCAATTGAACTCAGTGTACTTGTCACATTTCTAAATATACTCCGGTCACCATGACAACAAGGGAGACTGATGGATCGCTTAAAAGAGTACGGTATATTTAATTGTCAGCATTTTAAACTGACTCAGAAAAATGCTGTGTGATAGGGTCTACTCACCATGGTTACTGCCGGCTGAGTCCATAATAATAAAAGGCTTTCATACGCACATCGACAGCGTGCACGCAAAGAACGTAAAAGTCATTAGGCCCTTTCCAACCACGCTACACACCAAACTTAAGGCTTTCACAAGGACTTGTTCTCAGTAAGGTGCCACTCAAGAACCTACTCCCCGATTGTCAAGATCGGTGTCTGTACCCAAGGCCGATACAGCAAATCCCAACACTGATTCCGTACCCTGCTTCCTCTCTTAAACTAAAGATAAAGATGAACTTAAGGCTATTTTCCCCTGGGATAGGGGCTGAGAGACTCCTTCTCTTTCCTCCACGTGGACTTGTTCCCCATTGATAATCTTCTGGGATCCATACATATCCTAAATAACCATTTACGGAGCACCACTCCATGCCTGTGCCGGTCAATCTTCTTTAGGGTAGGAACAGAAAGGCAAAAAATAGATACCGTTCCCCCATTTTGGGAGCTGACACCCTAAGAAAAGAGGAAGACAACGATACAAATAATGCATTAAAGAGAAAGAAATAATCCAAATGAACTGATCCATTAGAGTGCACAATGCAAAGTGCCTAGTGTGGAGTGAGCACTCAGCAAATCATCATCATCGTTATAACTAAGATATCTCTCGCCAAAAGACTTTGCGATATACAAAAAGTAAACAAAGGCATGGTAACCATGCTTTCAGAGAACTGTAAGTGTTGTACAGAACTTAAAACAAGCTAACAGGAAAAAGCAATGGGGAGGGGACAGGTGTGCTACTTTAGCTGTAGGTTAAGGAAGATCTCTTCAGGAAGATGACATTTGTACTGAGCCTAGAATGAAGACTCCGAGTCAGCCATATGCAGAATCGGAAGGTCAAGTTGGAAACAACTTGGCTTACACAAGGGATAAAAGGAAAGTCAGTGTGTTTTTAGCTTAATGAGTAAAGTGATTGTGGAGTGGGAGATGAGGGAAGCCCAACTCACATCACTGTGCAGGATACTAAAAGGTCTTCTGAATGTTTCTAGATACCATGGAAGCCACTGTATGGCAGGGGGTGAGATATGATCCAATTAACAGTTTCATAAGATCTTCACATGATGTGGAGAAGGGCAACAAAGGAAAATCATAAAAGTATCATCACCATTTCAGAGACTATTGTCATGGTCAAGGTAATGGATGGTGACCTGGACTGAGTCACTATTCTCCTACTCCAGTGCTTTTCAGCAGCCCCACACTGACCCTCCTGACCACCTCTTACAAAAGAGGGACTAGGAGGAATGAGAAACAGGAAATATTCCAGAGGCAGAACACACACACATTGGCTAAGCATGTACTTTGAGCAAATTAGCTGGACAAAGGCCCTACAGCATGATGGCAAACACGCCCCATGATACAGCTAGTCTGGGGGGCGAGGGGGGCTTGTGATGCCGTATTTCCAATGAGCTGCAAGGCTTGGTGGGGGCGCCACAGGCCCAGAAACCACACTCTAGAACCAGGGTTCTCAGGGAGTCTGGAGGCAGGAACATGAGGATAGCAGGAGGCAATGAGAGCTTGGCTTAGAGTAATAACAGGTGGAATAGCCAAGACGGGAAAAACCCAAGAGACGTAGCAAAAAAGATACAATCCAAGGCTTGATAAAAAAAAAAAAAAGTAAATAACCCATGGAAAATAAAAAAAAAGAAGATGGTAGAACTGATTTTGAGCTTTCTTTACTTGTACTGTTCACTGTGCAGATAGTTTCCATCTCTCTAGTGAAACTGCTTTCACAATGAATACTTCCTGTGGCCACAAGTCTATCCCTATAAGATAGGGCCAAGGAA